CAACATCTTAACGTTCTGACCGTTATGGCTCTTCTTAATTTAAAAATTTTTATTTATATATTACATAAATTTTATTTAAAAAATTCTTTAAAATGTTACATTGTCCTATAATACATTATTAATTACACTCGAGTTTTATGAACATACATATATTAAACACTCACATAATGGTTTGAAATTTTAATTAAACTTATAAAGATTGTATGATATTAGAAAAAATAATTATAGCATCATAAGATCTAATACATGTTTTCAAATAGATGTATTTAATTATTAATAAATTAAAAAATAAACTTTATTAGAACCAATTAAAAGCTAATAAACAATAAATGTTCCAAGACAAAGAACTTGTAATATTATATAATACTATTTTCTGCATTTTGAAGCACAAGCCATTTTTAAAGAATTTATACGACAATCATTGTGTTTTCTTTAGAAACGGACAAGATGTGCAAAAATCTGAATTTTGATAAAACGATAACTTTGCAAGGCTATAAAATCCGATTGAACGCCGTCGAAATGAAACCGTATATAAAAATCGATTTGAGTTTATCGGATGAAGAGAAATTTCGCGGCGATAATAGCGAAATCATCAAGATATTATTATACAAATTAAAAGCGTCTCTAGCAATCAAGATTTATAACGGCAGTATCTACGGACTCGGTGGTATAGGACCGAATGGTACTCTAGAGGGTTTGATGGCCCCTCTGAGCGACGGCAAGATAGACATTGGCATGAATACGAGAAGTTTGTTTATATTGTGGAAAACCAGGTAAGACAATAATAAATGAATTAAAAAAAGAGAGATCTGCAAAGGAGGATGTTAAGTTAGGGCCGTTTTTCGGTCAAAATGAAAAAGTTTCGAAATGTACAAATTATACATCATATCAAAAGAAATCTACCATATTTATACTATCATATTTATTGAAAAAGTAAGAAAAAATAAGACAAGAATTGAGCAATAAGGATTGTATTACTTAAACATACGGACGCTTCTTTTTGAGAAAAGAAACTTCGCAAGACGTAGGGGAACCTGGGGTATAATGGTTATAGTTAGATTTTTTCAAGTTTTAAACATATTAAAGATAAATAAATCAACTTTGTTATATATTAAAATATTTTTTGAAGTATTTACTATAAGGAAAACTTAAGTTTTACTGCAAAAGTATAGATTAACAGGACAAAATTATTGTTTTGTGAGAGTGTATCGTAACCTCACTATGTCATTTATGCAGGGCATAATGGGGCACCACAGAAAACTTGTCTATTTTAAAAAAAAAAAAATTAATATTGAACATTGCTTAAAAGTGACTTAGAACATATAATATAAGTAAAAATACATTGTTGCACTTTTAATTTTTAATTTTTTATTAATGATTCTATATGTGATGCTGAGTGATACATTATACAAGATATACTGTTATTATAATATATTGAACATAAATAAAAATGATTAAGAAGATAATACAAATAAAATAATTCTCATCATTTTTATCTACACTTGCACATGAATCATAAACTCATTTTAAACATAAAATAACACCAGTGCACCATTATGCCTCGAAGTACATAAATTTACTTTAGATAATATAAAATATCACGGATAATCAATATATTTGTATAGATTTTACTAAAGTAACAAAAAAAGATTATATAATGACATAAATGTACTTATGACAATAAAAAATAGAATTTTGTTATTGCTTACCTTATACGAACATACCAAAGAATCTGTAACTCATTCGCGGACAGTAAAGCAAACACATTAAACAATTTTTAGCAATTTTCAGGTAAAAATAATATGACAACTAATAACAATATATAATAAGATTCATCTAACAGTAACTATTGTCTGACAATTCATTACATATTAGCATGTTTGTAAAAAGATATCGAATACATCCCATTATACCTCATGGTTTCATTATACCCCAGGTTCCTACGTACCCCAGGTCCCTACGTACAGTTTGACGCCATAATTGTATAACGCAATAAGATAACTACTGTATTCATTACTTTGTTATAATTTCTATACGTATACTAAAAGTGTAGTAGGAATAGAATACGCATATTACTAAACGCTTTTAACACTTGTGGAATCATTTCATCCTTATATTATTGTTTATCAAAAAGTAATATGATTCTGTGTGATGTTTTCCCAAGATAAGTGATATATTATTCGAATCTGCTTGAATAACCGTTTAATATAATATAATGCATAATTTGTATATCTTGGAACTTTTTTATTTTGACCGAAAAACGGCCCTAACTTAACATCCTTCTTTGATTTGTCTCTATCATTTGAAAAAAAAGTCGGTTTTTATGAATTCGAATCTAACTAAGATAGAATACTCTATTACGTTAAGTTTACGAGAAAATAGGGTCAAAATTTTTGAAATTTTATAGCTGACAATCGTGCGGTGCCGTCCGGCGCCATAGTAATATGATATCTCATATCAATAAATATAAAAAATTAATGTAGAATAATATTTAATAAATAATAATAATAAAAATAAATAACATTTATCTTTCAGATACACATATCCCCATACAAGATCAGGCGTTTGTGTGATAGCACAACCACATTCAAAAATCTCCCAATATATCAGGCTGTTAAAATTTATGTCACCAGAAGTGATAGTAGGAATAGTCATAACGTGTCTGTTGGCTTATGTACTATTCACGAAGAGCGAGGGATACATAAAAGCCAGCTTACAGGTGATAAGACTTGTGATCTGTGTGGGAATTCTACATCCACCAAAAATTAGTTCCACCAGAATTTTTATATGCATGATATTGATTCTATTCCTCAACATAAACGCTTTATTCCAAAGCCACCTATCAGCATTGCTCACTGTGCCGATTTATTATCGCGATATTGACACCACAGAAAGTCTTAAGGTAATAATAAAGTTTTATTTTATTATTCGCTTTTCACACGACAACAAATCTAAATATTTCTTTTTATTCATATTATTTATAATCAACATAAACTAAAACACAGTCATCTTTTCTTATTTTTTGTGAGATAGATACGGAGTTTTGCGAAAGAATAGTATAAATGTCAAATGATATCTCTTGAAATAAAAAAAAGAGAAAGTTTTATTTTTTAAATAAAAAAGAGAAAGCTAATGGCTTTAAAAATTTTATCGGTTGTCTCGTACATACGCGGTCTAAGAAAAAATGATATTAATGTTTAAAAATTTTGTTTTTATTTTATTACAATTTCAATTGTTTTAAATTTTATTTAACAGACAAATCCCTATAACACAATCTAATACAAACTATTTTTCTCTTATTAATAAAATTATCGATGCTTTATAACGCTGCATCACTAATCGATAATACCATGATGTGTGTGTGTATGTAGATTTATTTATAGGTTTGATACATGTTGCATATATTTTTATAATTCTCGCGCCTTTATTAACCACCGAGCCTTACGATTGTAGCGCCATGTTTTAGTTAGTAGCTTCTTCCGGTGTAGGTCGTTAGTTGTTACGCTGGCTTATCGCACGTTTTGTTTTCCTGCGCTGTTTGTCCTTTTATCCTTTTTTTCTGTAGCAAGAACTGATGACAAGTGTATCAATTCAATTTATACTGCTTTTGTGTTACCCACAATAAACTCTATTTGTTCGAGTGAAACATTCATTCTTTCATACGAGGAGTCCAGCCCTGCGTGCATACTCTCCCAACAATACACATATATTGATATATGTATATATATGCATTAAATATATTATAATACATTTGATACATATACATAAACATATCTGTATTAAATATATTGTAATATGTTTGATACTTAAATTATATTTAGGCTTGTTCTTTTTAGCTGAACTTTTGCACCAGTTCATCTTTCTTCTTTTTCTCTTCAGGAAAAGAGAAGAAAAAGAAGAAAGTGAACTGGTGCAAAAGTTCAACCAAAAAAAATAAGCCTTTTATCTTTTTACAGAAATCCGGATACACTATATACGGACCGCGTCAATTCAAACGATTATTGAACGATCCTGTATTGGAATCGCGCTACGTCGAAGTCACGTATGAAGAATGCAAGAAATTCGTAGAGAATTCGACGAACGCTGTGTGCTTGGGGGACTGTTACCACTTGTACTATAGAATTAAGGGCCAAGATCTTATTAAATCAAGAATATTGTTCGAGTTGACAAAATCGTATGTCACTCGCGAAGATTGGCCATTGTATCAACGAGTGAACGATATTATTCGATACATGACGCAGGCCGGCTTAATCATGAAATCCCGAGCTGACTCTGTTACGGAGATTAGACGCGAGAGATTCAGGAATGATGAAAAAAAAAAAGGCTTTAAAGTGATGTTGCTGAAGCAGCTTGCGTTCAGCTTTTATTTTCTCATCATAGGATATAGTTGCGCCACTATAGTCTTCATATTGGAATTGATAATTGGTCAATCGGTTTCTAGATCTGAGAACCAAATAGGAATAAGAAAAAGTACGGGAAAGCAACTAAAAACTAGGACAAACGACGAAATCCCGAAAATGTTAGCTTGGAATTAAGAAATCGATTTTATACAGAATTTATTTGAAGCTTTTCTTTTATAGATTAAATCTTGCGAAAAAGATAGCAAAATGTACACTTCGCGGAATGTTTAACTATTATTAATTATATAGTGTGATATATTGTTCAGCACCTTCTTTTATCGAATCATTGAAACTTGTATTAAAATAAATTTTTTCAATCTGCAAGCGAATTTTATTCGGAAAATATATTTAACTCCCATACATGCATCGAAGTCACATCTGATTATTTTCCTCCACTGTATTTATTTAGCACTATCTAATATTTAGTCCGAAAAGTGAAATCTTCAAAATATATTTAACCCTCAAACAGCACACTTCATCCCAGCATCCATAAACGGCACACTGGTGAGAATTGGGATTTTGTAATTTCATTCACTTATTTAACCATAATAATATTCTTCAAAATACTTTCAAAACCATACTTTCTTGGGGTAAAATTTCTCAACAAAGCGATTGATGCAACTCAAATTTAGTTAAATTATTCTTAAGTTATAAAAAAATTGTTATTAAAAAAAGATCTTTTTGAAAAATATGTTTTGAAGAATATAAATTAGTTATTTTTGAAAATAAAAGTAATCGAAATAAGACCAACGTGATTCTTTAGTCAAATGTATGTACTTTTATGAAAACATTACGCCGATGCTATAAAAATAAATTAAATATTTTTCCTAATGGGTCAAAGTTGTAGTATTTTCGAATGTGGTATATCACAGATAAAGAACAGTAAATACTGTAATATTGAAAATACACAAGTATATTATTGTATAAAATTGTGTTTTTTTATGTCAAGGATAACCTTATCTAACGTTGCAACCGCCACTCTGTCTTACAGAGACTAATGCGAATCGCCTCAATTTTTTAAGAATAAATAGACGTAAATTAAATTTCTCAGACTCCGGAAGAAGCACAGTTAATTCTTGGGAAGCCGATGGACCAAATACGGAACGTACAACCGATGGGGGAGCCAACACAGCCGCAACCGGACAGCAAGAGCCCTCCAAAAGATAACTAGAGCCAACCCTCTAATTTAAAAAATGTTAAAAATAAAATCAGTTCGATAAAGTAATTTTAATATGCGTTATATATATAAGATACACAGTTTTTATAAATAAATATTTCTTTGACATAATACAAGATTATTCTCCTCATAAAATATAAATTCTTCGATAAGAAAAACATTCATTTCAGATGCAAAAAAATCCAAGAATGACACATCCGGTGAAAGGTAATTAATAAAGGTAATAAAATAGCTAAGGTTAGCTCAGTCAATAAAATCAACAAGTTTTGTTCAAACACAATAATTTTATTCTTACATTGAGGAGAAGTCACATTACTTAAAATTAAATTCAAACACTTTACAATTCAAAGAGCCGATAGGAGCTCATTATGTTAATAATACATTTTACAAATAATCAAACACACGTTTGAAACGTAAAACGCGTGAAATAATAATAATAAAACTAATACAGGTCCGTAAGAGCTGCCAAAAGTTCATTTTTTTTTAAATTTTCATTTTAATAAATTTTAAATACGCCAAGAAACGTTCTATTAAATTCACGAACCTGTTTAAAAAACTTAAGGCTTATTAAAGCCCGTTTAAGAGCTCCGGATAGCTCCAGATTCATCTAGAATCACACTGAAGGATTCTGATAGCCCTAGTGAATGGAATACTCTTTGATTTATAATCAAAGGAGGTGTTTAGACATCCCATATAGGGTCGCCATTAGTGACAACG